TCGAACTCAGAACAATAAAACTAAAGAAAAAATTTAGTGTTCATTTATGTTAAAACTTGAATCGATCGGACTCGAAATACAAAAACTCAAGTCCGAGTCCGAGTCCTTTAAAAAAATCTCCAGTCCGGGTCCAAGTCTGAGTCCGCCAAAAAATCTTCCAGTCCGGACTCGGACTCGCCCATGCCTGCCAGGACGCTAAAACATCTCATTTCAAATGAAAAAATCCAAAAAATTCCAAGTGAAAAAAGTCGGTATTTTTGCTATCGGTATTTCGGTATGAATACTGATACCCGTACATACCTAATGTTGTATCTTCTTGTCTCCATTTTCTCCTTTCTGCATAATCCTTGTGCCATCGGTAAAACAACTCGTTTTAAAGTGATGACTCGTTCCCATGTTTAAAAAATCTTTTTTCTTTTTCATTCTGCTTTAACAAATGTATTCAAATGTTGTCGTATGCGAGATGAAGAAAAAGCACTCTAATTTCTATTTTGATCGTTTTTTTCTTTTCTCTTTAGTGCGTCTAAATAACATTGTAGCAGAAGAAAAATCGTACTTTTGTTTTTCAACATTGTTTATATCAAAAGGTAGTCGTTACTTGTTCTTGCGCTTTCTTCTTTGTAACTTCTACAAAGCCACGTCATCTGAATATATTACCATTCAAGAATTTACAGCAGTTTTTCGCCCTGTTCAGTTTAAAATAAAACTAATTTGTTCCTCCGGTTTAACGAAAAGGTAACTGTAGAAACCGTGATTTCCTCTTAGTAAAAGACTCGAATACTTTTTTAGAAATGTCATCTGAGCGTGTCATATTGGTTACGGGCGCAAACAAAGGAATCGGGTTTGAACTTGTAAAGAAATTAGTTGGTTCTAAAGACACGGTGGTGTTGGCTTGTCGAGATTTGAATCGTGGACAAGAAGCTCTGAAACAATTGGGAAATCAGATGAACGTACATTTAATCCAATTAGACACATCATCACCTCAATCAATTCAAGAAGCAACAGAACAAATCAAGAAGAAATTCGGACATCTCGACGTACTTGTGAACAATGCTGGAATTGCTAAACATGAGAAAAGTCTACAAGCGGCTACCGAAATATTTGGCACAAATTATCATGGCATCAAGAAGGTCAATCAGCATTTTCTGCCACTAATGAACAAAAACGGTCGTATCGTAAACGTTTCTAGTGAAGTTGGAGCGTGGACACTTGATCAATGTTCAGACGAGTTGAAACAGAAACTATTACATCCAAACCTGACAGAGGCAGAATTAGATAAGATTGTCGAAAGTTTTTTCCACGCTATTGAAAACCACACTGAAGCCGAGAATGGATTCCCAGCGGAGAGTCCATTTCTCATTTACGGTATGTCCAAAACAGCTCTTAACATGTACACACGTATTCATCCTGCTGGATATGAATCAATGATAGCTGTGTGTCCTGGTTATTGTGCAACGGATCTTAATAATCATACAGGTGGACGCACAGCTTCAGTGGGAGCTGATTCGGTTTTATTTGTTGTCAATGACAAATCGGTTGAAAATGGAAAGTTTTATCAAGATGGAAAGCTGAAACCGTGGAGTTATCCGTGTGACACGGATCTAACTAAATTATTGGATAGCAACAAACAGAAGCAGAAATAACGCTTTTCGTCTATTTCAGCTACAGACTCTCGTCTGTAATTAATCCCACAGTAGACTAAAGGTGGATCTCGGACGGATTTCCAATACGATAGTCAATATTCATTAGCGTTAAGTTTTTTGTATAATTCTTCTTTCTGTGCTCTAGTTCGACATTTTCTTGAACTGTATTATTGGCTGTAGACAACCAATGTATAATATCATACATTATCTTAATATATACAAGCTTTAGTGGACCCGCCATAGTTTCCAAAGATCCTCGCGAAAATTCGTATTAGAGTAAGAAAGTTCCCTAATCGGAATATTAAAAAAATATCCAGTTTTTTAAGTAAAACTCAGTTTTCAAGAGGCCTTCGACATCTAAAATTCAACAAGGAAAACAAAGTAGTGCAAGAGTAGAGGTCTCTATTCAAACAACGAAAAGCTATCAGCTGGAATAAAGATTTGATTTGTCTTATATACCTGTTCATCGACGATACTATCTGTGATACACAAACGATAAAGAAGAATGTTCGGCAACCCTCCTTTATCTCTGAGACTAGTGGTAGGTTATTGGTTGACAAACTTAGCAAGAACCTTAGTTCATATGAAAGCCCCTCCCTCAGTACTGCGATTCGGAAATATAGAGATAAAGAGATTTGTATGTATAGTGCAAAGAAGGAACGTCACGTTGTTGAGGTTAAGAATACTTGTCGATGATATTTGTAGTATGATGAGTGAATAAATATTAGAAATAGAAAGAGCAGTGTATAAGACAAAGGCTGGCTGGTACCGAAACTTCCAGTTTTAGAAAAGTTTCTCTTCACCTTAATCATATATTTTTTACTCACTTTTACATTTTTTTTGAACATGTTTTTCAGATGTAATAAACATGATCCTCATGTACAGACGGTGCAACACGTAGATGATAACACAAAGAAATGCCACATGTTGTTGGCAATAATTAAGTACGCGCTGTCTCCTTCCTTGTTTTTTGGGTTTCTAGATAAGTATTATTTGAATTATCTTTCATAGCTAAAAGAGCCAAAAAAAGCTGACGTGATTTTGTTTAGACCTACTCATAGCCGGTTTACAGGACTTCAGTAGAAAATAATTTTTCTCATCTAAGATCGTTTCTGCTATATTCTTTGTTTATCACAAGTGGCGGTCCAGTTAGGAATTCGGTTTTAGCAAAAGATTTAGCCTCAACATCATCAAGCTATGGTCGGTATGCCTGTTGTGTTCGATTCTGTTCGTGGGAGATACAAGAAATCGGTCTTATTGGTTCTATCTACCGTGTAGAAGAAGTTCTTTTATCTATAAAGTTAAGAAAAAACACTTATGACTCGAAAAGATGAATGCGATACTCCTTCCTCTATAAGACTGGCAAGCTTAAAGGTGACTAAACGGTAAAAAAGTGTTTTGCCGTATCGAAAGATGTAAATGTTATAAACTAATTACGTACAAGATACAAGAGCTAAGCACAGAGAGAAAAAAGCTTGAGCCTACATGAATAGACATGCACCGGTTTCGGTTTTTGATCTGTTATTCAATCAACAAATATTTATCCCAGAAGAAAGAAGTTCGGAGTTGCACGCTGTACGTTTTTGGATCCAACAATTATCATGCAAATTTAAGAAATAAAGTTACTTCGAAGATACAACTTTTTTTTTTGAGAAACTTCACTTATTCTAAAATGATTTTTTTTCTTTCACTTTTTATAAAAAAGAATTGGCCAGAACAAAATAGTTGTTGTTACAACAAAAAGGATTGTTATATAACCACGCGATGTTTCGTTTTAAGAGTTACCGGTTATGAGCGGTTTTCGATTAACTGAAACTGTTCCATGCCTACATGTTCTTGGCCTTCGGTGTTGACTAATTTTACTGAGCAGGATGATACCAATGCCTACTCGGTTCAGGACCGCCTCCACCTCCCCCTCCCCCGATAACGAAAAGTTGTTTTTGACTTGAAAAAAAATCGAACCTTTTTACTAGGCTAACTGGTAGATTAAAATGAGTATTTTTCAAATCTGATAAATAAAATTTTTAAAAGCAGTTTTTTAATCGGTTTCTGGCGGTTCTTTTAGCGATCTTTCGCACAGAAAGCATTTTTCATGTAGCTGAGAGAACTTTTAAGCTATAAGACTGTTCTGGGGGTTGCGTATGGTTTTCGAGGCATCAATTTTCTTACATTTCAGAAGATGCTCGTGTATATTTCTTAACAGCAGAATTGTGTTGTGTATTCCAGTCACTGACATATCATTTGCTCATGTCGGCATACACAGTTTCATGTATCCACATACGTTGTACTGGATTAGTATCAGAAATTCGATTCAAACCATACATCACTTGACCAATTTTATCGACATTATCGACCAAAAAAATCTTAAATATATTCCAAAAAACTTGATTTACCTTTTTCTTCTACTTCTGTTTTTGTAAAATACTACGATAATTTAAATAATTTTTTCTTATGGAGCATCGTAGAAAGGTAATTCTGTTTTCTTTAGAAAGAGAAAAGGAAATATGATAGATTGATGCCAATAGAATTTTCGATTAGGTCTTAGTTTATATTCTAGTCTTCTTAAAATTGGTTCTGAAATTTTCCAGGTTTTCAGCTTTGAAGAGTTATAAAAAGTAATAAAAACTGAAAGTGAAAACTCTATCCCTGTCAATCAATCCCGAAACATTTTTACTTCAGTTAACGGTTTTATGGAACTTTTATTGCTGAGTAAAATAATGCACTCGTGATCTCTTTCCTACGGAAAAATTGAGAAAACTCGATAAAATAAACGTAACCTAAAAAGAAAATGATAAACTATATATAATCTGTAATGGAGATTCAGAGTATGCTAACTGAAGTGGTTGAAAAGAACCTTTCTATATGAAAATTTTTCGTAAATAACTAATTTCGAGTTCAAGAAGAAATGTCCCATAAACGTGTGAGTTCTTAATGGTGATCAAAATTCTAGTGTTTATTTCCAGTAAAACACTCTTTTAACAGGTTAAAGGCTCATTTTTAGTTACTAGAGTAGTTTGTCGGAGCGTTGGGTCTTTTCACTATTCCGCTTTATCGTGAAAAGAAATAGATTTCGAAAAAAAGAAGTAGCAACAATAAATCCTATGACAGAGAGAAAAGACTGGAATTTAGTATAATTATTCGAAAAACTGCCTGTCTCCCGTTGATAATGCCGTAGCTGTGAAAAGAGACACACTATTTTATTCAAAATATCGAGTGCGGCAAAACATAGACTGTGAAATGATTTGATCAAAAATTTTAAAAAAGCTATTTACTCGCTATTTCAACTGAACTGAACTGAATTTTATTTTTGCAAGCATGGTTGTTGCAAAGAAAGGCTAGCTTATGCTAATGCAACGCCGAAAAAAGTGAAGAAATAAAGAAATACTAAAAGAACAAGTAACAGATAAATTATAAAAGTTGAAGATGCTGCTTCAAAAAAACCCTTATAGATTCTGTGACTGGTTTGATTCACAACAGTGCATGGCAGCACATTCCAGTCGCCAGAGGTACGGGGAAAAAATGACCCCGAAGCAGACTTTAAGGAATAGTAAGGTTTTTGAATTTGTTTATCATGCGTTATTCTAGACGACCGTCAATTTGTTGGCGGAGTAATTAGGTTTCTAGCAGACAAAGCACTTCTCCCGTTGTATAGTTTGTGAAAATAAGCAAGGCGAAAATATTTTCGACGAGCGG